CAATATCCATCCACTGATACAATACAGTGAAATCTGATTCAATAATAAAGAGGAACATCTACAGATAATGCCTTACGTGAGTCAATCTCTAGATGTGGTAAGCTAAGGAAACTAAACAAGAGTGCATACTATTTGATTTCTGTTACATGAAATTCTAGAATTGGCAGAATTAATCTCCAATGACAGAAAGTAGATCAGAGTTTACTGAGAAGTGGGGGAGAGCTGGCAAAAGGGAACAAAACTTTTTCCTGATGAAGAAATATTCTATAATTTGCTTGGGGTAGTTGTATATTTGTTGTATATAGTTGTCAAAGCTCATTAAACTGTACTGTTAAAATAGTTATTTTTATTATTTGTAAATTGTACTTTTCAATAGCTAATTAAGACTCTTAATGAAGAGCAGTCAAGTCACAAGAACAATTATTGTCAGATATCAGAATTTAAACTAAGCTGCTAGGTTCTTATTTGTTTCTAAGATAAGCATATTCAGGGGGCCACATTTTCATCTAAATAAATAGTTTAGTGAGCAAAATTATAATTTTAAAAGGAGGAGGAAGACAAGACTAATGACATAAAGCATGAATACGTCTATAGTGAATATTTGAAATTTAAGTGACTAACTTTTGATATCACTGTTATAGTGTGTTTAAATATGGGTACATTTGAATCATGAGCTATCAAGGAGGTTAGAAAAATCTGTCAATTACAGAAATATACCTTTTTGGGTACAAATCAAATACGCTAAAGTTCTTATCAAATGTTTAAGAAAATGCGATTAATCAAACGAGCAGATGGTGTTAAATGTTTTAGGAGAATTTGATCAATTAATAAAAATTGTTAAAGAAATGAAAATACAATTTAACATTTTTGTACAAGTGATATTATGCTTATATTTCAATTTGATGGCAGAAATGTAAGAAAAACTGAGTTTTAGATATATTTGAATAAAGCAAATATTGATTCAGGCAAGTACTTTTCTTAATGTACCAAATTCCTGCTTTGATGGTAAAACTTGTTGACAATATGTTCTACACAAACCTCTTCTGTTACCTTTCTTACACATTTGTGTACTTGTCAGGGAAGCTGAGTTTCTTCTGTTTTATCTCAAAATTTTGAAGACCAGCCTTTGGCTTAGAGCAGTGCATCTTTTAAATGTTAATTATTTTGCAACAAGTTATTTAGGTATCTTAGAACCGTTTTAAAGAAAATTCACCATGTATCAATTTTATTTCATTTATGATTTTCTTTTCCACCCCTTATCACCACTTCACCCCATGTCTTTCACCTTCTAATTTTAAGGCAAAAATATCTAGGCATTTTTCTCCCTGCAGTTGGTTCTACTGAGGGCCTCTTCTAGAGGTGATGACAAAAATCACTGAACCTAGAAAACAGAGTCACTAAGTACAATTTACGTAATAGCCTCTTTTGATATTTAATTGAGTGTTTCTAACTTAGTTAAATCTATCTGTTAGGTAGTATTTCCATCAATTTACAAATGGGGAAATCAAGGTCAAGCAATATGCAAGTGGCAGAACCATGATGGTAAATTAGTTTTAACTCCAAGGCTCTGAGTTCCTTTACCTCCTCTGAGATGAAGCACCTTATGCTGAAGTCACAGAATTGCCTCCTAGGTTTGTTTTGGTACAATCGACCAATTATTTTGAGGGTTCTTTGTTATAACTCCACATGAATTTGATCAACCCATACATACCATCAGAATCCAAGAAACAGGTGGGTTGTTTCCAGTGGAAGTTGCGAGTTTGAGTGAGAACAGTCTATCCTTAACTTAGGAATCCTTTGCTATTGCTCTTTTAACTTCCCCTTTGCTCTCTCCAAGGCATTCAGTAAATGTCATTTAATGAATAAGTGAGAAATTGTTGCCCAAAAGTGCAGGTTAAATATTTGTACTTAGTGTTTGACAACTAGTTCATTAAATATTTATTGGATACTTATTGTCATGCCCTCCATTTCAGTCATTCATCCAGCAAAGGATCACATCTCAACAATGTCTTGGACATTTTGTAAGGGCACGTGGCTTATAGTGACAACCGTCACATGGCCTCTTTTTAATTGGGTTTTCTTGCCCCACTGCTTTCTCTTACATCCTTTCTTCCTCCCTCCTTTCTCTTAACTACAGAAACCACATCATTTTTCAGTGTCTGCTACGTTTTATAAATATTTTGCTTTGTCAATTTGTCCACATTCCTTGTTTTACTCACTTATGTACCAATATCCACTATTTGTCTTCTGATTTGTTTTACTACATATAATTCCATCGAGTACCTTCTGTTTTGTGTTAAAGGTCAACATTATGTCTTTCTTTATAGTTGGAGAATATTCTGTGATGTGGATATACCACCACTTCTTAATCTAACCCTAATCAGTGGGTTACTTCCACATCCTACACGGTCTTTACTTAAGGAATCTGGGATCTAGAATAAATGAGGTATTATCACAGCTGTTAGAAAGAAAGCTGTGGGTGCTGATGTTAACACCAGTAGTCAAGTGTTTTAAGTTTGATGTCAGGAAGTTCTTTTCCCCTTAAATTGATTTCTTTGGGTATATTTTTAATGCCTTCCTTGCCATCTCATGGCTTCAAACTTCTCATGCATCTGGTTTAATTCCAAATTTCTTGGCTTTGATTACTGTACTTTCCGTCTTCCTTCTAGGCTTCAACTTTGTATAGTCTACCTCCATTCTAAACCCCATGTATTTAACTGCAAAGTCTTAATTCTCTCCAAATTTGTTCCTGACAGATCTTTTAAGAGGAAAAACATACAAGGGGATGAAAAGTAGAAATTCATAGCATTCAGAATTCTAGAACAGGGGGGCAGACGAGGACTCAGTAAAGGACTCCGGGTTTTCTTAAATGTGTTCTTGTACCAACTCCATCCATTTTTCAGTATCTATCATAAATGTGGAATGTGATTTTGATTTTCTTTTTCTGTCTACTACTGTAAAGGGCTTTTATAAAAGACATTATTTAGAATGGACCCAGATGAGGTTGGATGCTATTTCAGAGGTACTGTCTACCTCATCTTGTCCCTCCACCTTCTGAGAGGCCATCAGGAAAACAAACACCCTGGTCAAAAGAGATGTTGATTATGGACTTTTTATCTAGAGATAGACTCAGCAGCCAATTATCGATAGCCAAGACTAGCTGAACCTTGTCAGTACACTGGGAAGTTTTTCAAGGCAACTCATGTGGCTTTCCTCTTCTATGAAAACTCCTTGTAAAAACAAGATAAAAATCCTGCAATTCAGTATACAGCTTGGATCTCTACCTTCATTTATATTCCCTCTTTCATCACAAATAAATGTGATTTGTCTTTTAATTGTCTCCTGATTTAAGTAATCTGTGTCAAAGTCAAGGTTGAAAGTCTTTCACATGGTATCTATGTGGGAAGGATTTTACCCTGACTTCCAAAAAATATTGGAAATCCTTGCATTCCTCCAATGGGTAACAGAATGCGATGTACAAAAAAAAATGTTAGGACTATCGAACATAATACTGCTTAATGAGACTAAAACTTAAAAGAGTAGAAGACAAAAATCTATTATTTCTAACAACTTTGAACTGCCCCTGCAAATCATGTTCTTTCTGTTAGCTACACCAAAATCAGAATCTAACACTTGTACTTGACTTATGGCATTAAGGACACTAAGACAACCGGCTCATGCATAATCTGAAATCCTTTTGGGTGAATTCCCTTCTTCATACCTCTATTTGGGCTCCTCAGAAAGAGAGGAATTACACAGGTATGCAAACTGGCTAGTTATTCAAGAAACTAGTTACCCTGTCCTCTAGGGACACGATTATATCATTTCCCAGAATTTCCTTCCGTTAGATGGACTGTATGAATTTAGTCCGAAGGAATATGAGGTGAAGGGTATGCATAACTACTAGGTTAGTCACACAAAATTTTCCACATGCACTTCATCCTCTTCCCCTTAAGTGCTGTTTTAACAAAGAAGATTCTGCAGACTGAGAAAGGCTGAGCCTGAAGATGGAGAGTCTGGGTCTCAGAAGGACAGATGAAAGCTACTTGAAAGCTGCCCAACAATCTGCAACACACACGTTGAAGTTGACATGAGATACAGATCATCCTGGAAGGTACACAACTGAGTCCCAGTTTCCTTATCTCCAGGACTTGTAACAGTTTCTCAATATAAGTAAAAGTTCACTAGTTGTCATTAACATTAGGAAACAAAATTTACTTCTGCTTTTTCTTGGGCAAAGTGGAGCATGAGCGGCCTTTACCAGTTGCAGAATACTAACTGGTACATGACTATGTTTAGGTAAAGTAACTGAGAAAAATGTTTTTCTTCTGGAACTCAAACATCAAATTTTACAACTGGACTCTGTTGAATATTCAAAAGATATAAAATATAATAAAAAGAATGTGACACCTCCTTTTCTCCTTATCCCCTTGACATTGAGATTAGAGACATTCTAAAGCATTTTTGACAATCTACAATATTAATGTGGTTTCAAATTAACACAAATTTTTGTACAATAAATACTCTGTGCTGTTATATTTAACTGATACAGTTTAATAATAGTCATAATCAACTTTTATTGATTTTACATAAATAGTTCATAGAGTGCCTTTGTAAACCATGTTTTTTCAATATATTTATGTTACAACACACAACATTTCTTTAAGAAAGTATTTGTTAAATCTTCTTGCAGAGAAAGTGGGTAAAAGTGAGGAGGAAGATTACAACTTCAAAACTAACCTTTAGTGATAGGCCTAAATATTTGGCAATTATTTCCTTTTATAGAAAATTATAGGTTTGTAACTTTGAAACATATCAAAAGTGCAGTGCATCAGTTTAATTAAAAAACCAACAGTCAAATATATTACTGGGGCATCAAATTTCCTTCTCTAAATATAATTAGATTCACATAATTTTATACTTATTACATAATGGTTTTAAACAACAACCATCAAAATCTTTAAATAATCCCCATCTGGATTAAATCATGGTAGTATCAGTATTTTTAAAAACTGGTTTATTTATTCATTCATCAGTAAATGTAACATTTGACAATATCCCCAGAGATTAAGCTTCCTATGTGTAGGAAGATGACAATCTTATTACACCTGCTATAAAGTAGGTCATTTACATAGCCACAAATATATTATTTCAGAATTGGTGTTCATACTGATGTTTCCACTTGAACAAAGTATTACAAGTAGTCATTACTTTACCAACACTGAGGACTTAATTCCTGAAACAAGGAATCACCTTTATATTTATACTTTATTAGTATTTCATTATGGTGCTTAGCCTTAGAGTTACTAAGCGCAATGAGTTTTTCTTAATGAATGTGGTTGAATTAAGGCAAAGGACATAACCTAGTCCCTTCAATACTTCTTCTCTCCAGCATTTTAAAAATTATTGTTGAGGCTATATAAATTACAGACGTGCTGGCTAGAGAGACACAGTCATCTCTTAGATCAATACCTAGTATTTTAACACATAAGATTGATTTCCTCTTGATCTATCATTATGATCATTCTTTATCAGTACCCTCAATGCTGATTTTCAAATGGTACCATTTACTTGCTATGTCTCCTGGCTGGATGTAGATTATTTTTTCTTATTAAAAATACTTAATAAATGAGCAATAATCTACTCAGTCTTTGTAAACTCTCCATTGAATAATTTTTCATGTTCACAACCATTCCTTGTATGGCTGTTGTGATTTTCTTCTATCATCTTCTTCACATAACTGTGTGGTCCCTTACCTTCAAAGGAGGAAGGATTTTTGAATGAGCCTCCAATTCTATCCCACAATGTAAAATACTGTCCATAGTTGTAGTCAAAGAACAGGTGATGGTCTGTATGATGAGCTGAGCCATTAATAAATGGCCTTAAGATATGTGGAACACGAAAATCACCATCATGAATGGAAATTGTCCAGATATTGACTAAGATATACAAGCCTAAATAAACCACCTTATGTAAGGGAAAGACAAAAGGGTATACATGATAAGGTAGACTCTGAAGAAAGCCATCCACAGGGTGAAAAGCATGACTTGCAAATGGAGTAGGAATCTTCCAGATATGGTGAGGTTTATGTATGCGCTACAGAAGAAAAGGACACCATTAGCACCAAAAAGTTTACCCCAGTGCAATATCAACTTAGCTTGTCATACTCATTATTTTGGAAACAACCTAACTATAGCATTCCTTTGAAATTAGCAAAATCATTTTATTAGTGTCTTTCTACTTTACCCTCAAGTAATTGCATTTTAACACAGCCCTTATGACCCATAAAAAAATAGAAACAAACGTACCCAGAACCTGTCAGGACTAAGACCACTTAGTTATTTACTAAACTGACAGAAGTTCTTGGAATAGAGACCAGAATTTAAAATCATATGCAGCTCAAATGTACATTTTTTTCTTTCAGCTGTAACTGACTCTACCTTATATACAAGTCTATGATGTAGGCCTCTGTGAATCCAGTAGATCAGCATGTCAGTGAAAAAGAGGAAGGAAAATACACTAATAACAAGTTGAATCCAGCCTAGAAGAGAAAATAGGGTATAGTAGAACCAAGATTTAGCTCCAGGATCAGTTTACAATTTACACATCTATTTAAGTGCAAAGTATGACCTTAGAATTCAAACACTATAAACTGTTTTGGTTAATTCAATAACCTATAAATTAATTTCCCCTGTCATTTCTTCACTTTCCTCTCGTAAAGTTACAATGTCCCACCTAAAGTATTTTTCAATTAGAACAAGACATAAAGAGATAGAAATATATTCCTTGTTTATATATGGAGAGAATTAATGCAATTAAAGTGACTATAGTACCAAAGGTGGTATTTAATATAATCCTCATTAAAATTCCAACAAGTCTTCAAGAAAAAAAAAATACTAAAATTTATGTGTAACCATAAAAGACACAAGCAGCTAATGCAATTCTGAGAAATAAAAAAAAAAAAGGAAAAATGTAGGTTTTACGTTGCCTGATTTTAAACTATATTATAAAGCCACAGTCATTAAACTAATATGGCACTGGACTAAAAAAACAGACACAAAGATCAATGAAGCTGAAGCAAATGCCCAGAAATAAACCCATGCATATATCAATATAATAACTTAAACAAAGAAGTCACAAAATGGAATAAGGAGAGTCTCTTTAACAAATGGTGCTGGGGAAACTAGATGGACATATGTAAAAGGATGAAGCTGGATCACTCTATTCCATGAATTAAAAAATGGGTTAATGACTTAGATATAAGAATGATAATAAGAATAGATATAAGAACAATTATAACAATTATATATATATAAGCATTGGTGATAGATACAGACAGAAAAATACTGCTAATTTTTTTAGTTGCAAACATAAATATAAAAAAGTAAAAATAAAACCTACCAATAATGTTTGAGACAGATAAAAGATATTCCTAGGGTACTTTTATTGGTCAAATCTGAGAATAATGCTATTTAACTGTTTTCCACATTAATCTTCTCAAAAATGAAGGTTTATTCACCACCTTTACTCACTATCTCCCTACTCAGAAATTTGTTTTTTCCACTAAATATCTTAAGCCTAGCCTATTTACTCCATAATCCAACACTTTTCAACTTCATCTGTTCTGGTTAACCAGGCTGGTTGACTCAATGTTCTCCCAACATCTTTTTTTCTTTGTTCTTTTATTGCAATATAATTGACATTTAACATTATATCAGCTTCCCAACATCTTGAAAGTCTTACCTTGCACTTTTACTAATAAATGCCCTCTCCTTTTGACTCATACTCCTATCCCCTTTTTTCAAGGTTAGCCAACTCATCACCCTAGTATTTAATTTATGTCCTCTCCTTTAAGTAGCTAACCTCTTACCTAGAGAGCAGTATTAGTGCTACTATACCTGGGTTCTCGTCCCAGATTCTCCACTTACTTGTTGAACAACCTGGGCATGTTACTAAAACTCTCTGTACACTGAAATTACTCATTTATAAAAGAAGTATGATAATACCTGCCTCTTAAAATTGAATTAGAATAAAGTGTACTGATGAAAGTAAAAAGCTTACAATTATAGCTGGTACATATTAATAATCAATAAATGATAATATTATTCTTACTTTCTAATACTTGATACTAGAATGCCCCTTGAGAAATTATCTCAGAATTTCATGAAAATTTAGTCACAGCAGGACTTTATAATAGGAAAAAAGGCAACATCTAAAGGTTAAAAGTTAGAGTTTAAATAAATTAAAATAGCTACACAATGAGATATTAAAACTAACGTGCTCTATTCATATTTACTGAAATGAGAATGTGAACATACATATTAAGAGGGAAAAAAATCAAAGTCTGAATCAGTCTGTACAGTAAGATTAATTTTATAATGTAAATAATAAAACACACAAACACCGACTATGGGAAAATGTATCAAAAAATTTAGTTTCTAGGTAGCCAGATAGCTAATATTTAAAAAATCTATATACTTTGATTTTATATAATTATCACTTGAATTTTTTAAAAAGAAGCTTGAATTCAATAAAGATTAAAGAAGACAAATGCAAGAACCTATCAACAATCTACCCTTTGCCACATATGACCTTGTCTAACAGACTTTAAAATCCATAGAGGAGAGTAATGAAATGCACATATGTGACATAACATGAATGCATAAAACCAAAAACAACTGCAAAAATGACAAATTTTTTTTTATAAGAAATCAGAGATAGTTTTGTACTTTATAGAAACCAGTGTATGCCTGGCATTCATGTATCTACTTACCATATGGAAACTCTCCGATGTTGTCATATAATTTGCTGTACCCTCTCACCTCCAGCAGGAAGAGTGTCACAGTGGGGATGCTTATCCACGGGAGAGACTTAATAGTAAACATAATCTCTCGGGATACTTGATTCTGAAAATATAATTTCCAATACTGACAATCACCCAATCTGTGTATTAAACAAAACTAGCACACAATTATTTTAGATTTGATTTTGAAACTCTTATATGATGGTGTATACTTCCAACCTGTTAAACCAATACAATCAATTAAAATTGTATTATATGAAACTGGGTATGTAAGGAAAAAACTCCTTTTGTATTGAGGAGTAATCAAATACAGAATCCTTTTAAATTCTGAAATCTTTCTTTTTCCCACAAAACAGTAAAGTCCTAATTCTATACTAGTCAGTATTTTAAAATTAATGTCTAGCCTCCAACCCTTTTAACTTAGTTCTTGAAGTAACTGGCAAATACAAATAAGTAAAACAGAAGAAAATAACTAAAATGGAAGAATGACTGAAAACAAATCTAAAATTCCTGAGTTCTAATTTCAAGTCTAAGAAAAATATACACGGACAAAAACATTTCAGTTTGTTAATGTCAACCACCAAAACAATCACACAAATATGTGCATTTATTTATCATTAGCAAAGAAATTTTTCTCTATCTGGTATCTAGTAAGATAACAGGCTTACAGTTAACTCATGTATTTCTTTACATTTAGGGAAGAGAAGAGGGGGTTAGCCTACAAATAGTATCTACTCATGTGCAGTTGGATTTAAGCCCTGTATGTAATGGTTATAGTCAATTTAATCTGAAAAGTTCAGAAACACATCACATTGTTATTTTTACTATAAAAGATGAGTTAAAAAAAATCACTTACCTTTAAAAATTGTGGGTGTTTCATTAGCGAATGATCATAGACAAAATAATAGCTCAGTGTTGCAAAGAGGAAATAAAGGATATAAGCACCAAGATTTGTTATAATCAAGAGACTAGTAATTTGTCGGAAGATGTTATCTTCGGGCCATGTGGTTGGATATATGTATGGTGTAAAAAAATAATAATCTGCAGCATTGAGTACCAGGTCCATCTTAGCCCCTGAAAGATAAGCAAATGCAAAAATTATCTACCCACACTGATACTTTCAAAGCAAAATTTTTTCAGACAACTACCTATGAAGCTCTTGATTTGGTAAGCCTATGGAGTGCGAGCCTGCTACTAGCATCCCTGAAATGCTCTGGAGTCATACAGGATCTTAAATCATATCTTTAGTTCAATCTCTTCACTCTATACATGAAACATTAAAGCTCAGAGAAAATGAAGTCCAGAAGTTTTTTTCTCTAAGATCGCTTTAATAAGTGGCATTAAGTTCAAGATCGCGTTCCCTTTCAGCGATCTTTCCTACTCTGTCCAGGCTTACTCCTTCAGTTGTAAATTGAAGTAGCACCCCCTAAAAGGAATCAATGCAGAGAGTTTTGCTGCAAAACTCAGACTTCAAAACAATCGCCTAAAAGGTATCCATGCTGCAACCACTGAAGTCAGGGACTATTTGGGTCTTGTGACAGAAAAACGATTATTTTATTTGACAGGACAAAGGGAGATGTACTCTTGGTATGCAGAGCTAGAATATACATTACTCCTCACCGCAAGCAATTTTCTAGATCAGGGACTGGTTAACTTTGGCCAGTGGGTCAACCCCAGAACCCATTTCTGTAAAAAATTTTACTGGAATACAGCTATGACCAGATATTTTTATGTCAATGGCAATTTCTCCACTACAAAGATGGGGCTAAATCACACAATATGGCCCGTAAAGGCTGAGATATTTACTCTATGGTCCTTCAAAAGACAAGTCGGCCAACTCCTACTGCAGATGATTCAACTTTAGAAAAACTTTAGTCAACTGAGCAATTCTTAAGTCTACACTCTACTCATGATCCTGCCTCAGAGCTCAGCAAGAGCACACTCAGTTTGGGGGAGTTGACCACTGGAGCTACCATTTATAAGCTACTCCCTCCTTCACAGCTTATAGAGGAAAACATGCCCAGTTTCTAAAACATCTCTGCTTTCTAACTGAATTCTTGGAAACAACAACTGGCTAAACCAGTCTGGAAATTGCCCCATCTATGTGCGATATCAGGTACTGAAACAGTTTTCATCTGGTCCACATTGGGCCATGTACATAAACATTCAATTATGAAATAAAACAGCCATAGGAAAAGCAAAAATTTTATTTCTAATTTACTTATTTATTTGTGGCTTATGTCCTCTACTAGATCCCCCTCCCCCCCCAAATTCCCAGAGACTCAGCAAGCACACCAAAATCGCCATCTTATTTCCAGACCCTGGACAATCAAATTTATTATTTCCTACAAATCCTTACAAAGTTATTTTCGTTTAAGATCAAACAACAATATTTTGGGTTTCTCCTTTACAAAAATATGGCATGTAGTATATATACACTGTGACAGCTTTTCCTTTTTTTCTCATGGAGAGCGTTCCATCTACCTCTATAAAGAAAATTTGCCTTTGGGAGGGGTTAAAGAATTTTATTGAGATATAATTCACAACAAAAGTCTCTGTTTTATTAAACAGTATGAGTCAGAAGTTAGCATAGTCTCAGAGTTGTGCAATCACGGCCACTATCCAATTTCAGAACATTTTCACCATCATGAACAAAACCCCAAAGTCCAAACCACCAAGCAATTCGGATGTGTACATTAGTATTTTTCATTTGATAAGTCTGGGGCTACTTCTCCAGAGTCACTTTTTGATTATTTTTCTCTCTTCCCCGGGAGCCCCATTATGCTCATGCTGGTTATTCTTGTTGGTTTAGCTCAAGGCACTGGAGCTCTGCTCATTTTTTTTTTTCTTTTTCTTTCTGTTCCTCAGACTAGATAATCTCAATTCACCTGTCTTTCAATTCTTTAACGCTTTGTTCCTTTGGCTCAAAACTTATGTGAAATCTAACATTTAATTTTAAAATTCTGTGATTACCCTTTTGACTTCTGAACTTCTATTTGGTTGTTTTAAAAATGACTTCTAGCACTTTCTTGATATTCTCCATTTGGTGGGAAATTAGTTTCATATTTCCTTTTGGTCATCCTATAGTTGTTTGGACACATTTATTGCAACTAACTCAAAGGTCTATCCATCAAATTTAATGTTGGGGCTTTTTCGGGAAGTGTGACTGCTTTGTGTGTACAGGCCATACCACACTCTGCTTTCATGTGTGTGTGTGTATGTGTGTGTATCTATGTGTAAAAGGGAATATTTAAAATAATATAATGTGGTAATTGTAGAAATCAGCTTCCCACTGGGCCTCCCTGCTGCTGTTTAAGTGGCTGTCCCAGACTAACTGAGCACACCTGTACTCTCTACTAGTGGGGCTCATTCTAAATTCCCAAGAAAATATCAATTTTTCAAAGCTTCCCATGGATATTCCTCATTGTCCTTTTAGATTTTTGTGCTCCTGTAACACCACCTCCCTGCAGCTCTGGGGTGAGGCGACTCCCAGCGGGCTTTTGACACCCACCCTGAGGGCAGGAGTGTTCATGGGAGCAGGCTCTGAATCAGGCATTTGTCAGGGAACTGCCAGAGAAGTCAAATACTGACAATTTTCTGGGTTAGGAGTTTTAGGAAGCAGTTCTGGGCAAACCTCTCCTGTCATCATCACAGCTGCCAGGCGGCCACTTTACAGAGCCATTGGTACTGCAAGACTGTTTGGTTTTAAGGCTACCAGGGAGCTGGGGGTAGAGGTGGAAATAAAGCCACTTAAAAATGTGACAAAGCTTGTTGTCACTTTTCTAAAACAAAATTCTATAGGTTATTGGACACTTTTAGCTAATTTCTAGTTTTATAAAAGCTGACTGACAACTTTTGTCAGTGTTTTGTCGCTTTTATAGAGAAGTACAGATTCTCAATTTCTTAATCTGGCATTCCAATAGTCAGCCCCTCCTCTTTTAATATTTATCTGTTACTTTTTAAAAAACATTTAGCATCAGATGTATTTGAAATTTAGAACTTCTAAATTTTTCCAAAGGTTGAAACTTCCCCTTACTATTAAATATTAATATGTGTTTAGAAAACATATGACTATACACATGAAGTGGGGCAAACACAGACAAATTACAGTTCATTTAGCTAGTAATAATTTATGCCGAAAAATGGTAGAACTGAGACAGCCTACAAATACTTACTTACACCTATTTTATAGGAAAATATTCAGCAACCTTCCAAAACCAGCAAAGTTAAATCCCTGTGCTACATCTGTTCATACATGTACAATAATGATTTATTCTATCTGGTTGCTTGAGGACCTTCAAGAGAAGGGAACATACATAAGGTTGGAAGTGGCCAATGATGAAGGGTTAGGATCAAGCTTTTCAAGGATGAAGCAACACTACCCAAGAGGGCCTTTTGTAAAGATTTCTATCGATGCCATCTGTATTCTCAATATATGCTTTTACCTAAGCAACTGCTGTTTAATTGCCTAATTATGCCTTTAGCAATTGTTCCATTTGTGCTCACGACATGACCATTGTGGCCATCATCACAAATACAGCCATGACTTGTCAGATGGTTAAAGCCTTCCAGCAATTTCCCATCACTCAAACAGTAAGTAACAGAAGCATCACTTCTTCATTGTTACCTTCTCCTGACTTATCTACTTAGCTGTTAAAATATATGGTATCATTAATGAAGGGATCATCTTCTCATTGGTGATATAAAACCTGTACCTGCGGCTTCAATTTCAAACCTCATTGTCAGCTAAAAATGCCAAAACATTTATTAACGCTGATTTCAAACATCCTTTCAAGCATTAATGTACTACAGGCAGCGCAAACACTTGTTTCCCAAAAATGCAACACTGGTTGGTGGAGAAGACTGTGTTCCAGTCAAAGTGGGGGAAAAGTAAGTGTTAAAAACATGGCTTTTAAAACAAAGTTGAAGGAGAGAATGCACAAGAGTTGTCCAGTAATAATTTTAAATCTTCCACGGTTTTCCAGGCCAGCCTACTTAGAGCTTGTACCAACAACAGCACAGATGTTACTGACACAGTCAGAGGATTCTTGCAATAATACCCGGGGAGCTTCATCCAAACACTGCAGGCACTGGCTTTTTTATAACCACTGCAGACTTTATTTTTTATATGTCTGGAGCACTAGCACCCTCCACAACAATCAGCTTTTAGCAGTATTAAAATGTCATGCTTCTCTTGTGAACTACCGTATGGGACTATTTCATCACCATCTAGTGCAAATTTATTCAGCACTCAGGTTTTCATCAGACACTCTCAGCAAATCCATCAGGGTAATGTTTAACTGCTTCAAGTTCAGCAAAATAACTTCTACCATATTTTGAGTTTTTTTTAAATGACTTCCTAAACTTCTGAATCCGAATCCTCCCTTCTTATTACTAACATTCATGAGCATGAAGCAGTCCCTGAGACCTTGCTTGCTTCCTGACCAACAAAGCAAGCCTGGCATTCACTAACTTCCTTTTGGGCAAACCCATTTAATCAAAACATGGTTAGGATCTTCTTTTCTTGTCTTGTGCAATGCTGCCCTCACTATCATTAATTCTTGGTCCTCACGGTGAGTGTCAGGGTCAGCGATCTTTCCATTCTGTAAGTCATAAATGGCTGCAGTCCCCTTCTGTCAGAGCACGTGCACCTGCCTACTGTAGCTCCATGCTTTGTGCTTGACTGAGGGCAGAGGTTTTCATTCTGTGATTTACAAAGTTATCTTTAACTATTTGCAATATTTTCACATACAATTTAGCTGAAAGTATTAAGACAGTACCAGTCAATGGCAGAGACAGGAGTATCCAGTAGCGGCGTATGTGCAACAAGACACAATGGGTAACTGAGTCAGCTGGAGTCAGGCTTTGTCATCAAGTGAGTCTGCCTGCCACTTAAAAAAAAAAACAAAAACTTTTGGTTAGCAGGGCCTTCCAGATTTGAAATGATGGTTAAGGGGCCTGGACCTATGTTTCTTTGTGTGATGTCACCGTTGTTTACTTAGAACACAGCGATATCAGGATAGATTATCATCTTTTGCATTTACAAATGATGCTACAGTAATTTCCATAAGCAGAAGAGCTAATTCAAAGATTAATTGTATTGGTAATATTGATAGCTATTACTAAATTGCCTTCCAGAGGAATGTTTTTGCATGCCCATGACAATGTAGGATAGTGTCTATTTTCCTACAACCTTGAAAATCATTAACCTTTGGATTTTCATCAACCTGTTGACAAAGAAATGACATCTCAGTATATATTTTTAATTTATATTTATCTTATTATATGTGAGACTGAGCATCATGTCATATATTAAGAATGCTTTGCCTTTTTCTGTGAATTACCTGTTTTTCCCCTTTGCCTATTTTCCCACAAGATTTTTACTAAGTCTGTTAAAATCAAATCCTACAAGTTCTTTATTTATAAGGGCATATAGCCCATTGTTTGTAGTATGAGTTAAATGCGTCTTTTCTTCTTACTTTGTTAGGGAAAAAAATTTTAGTTAATACCAAAATCCAGATGTTTCTAGCTACTTTATCATACATGATTGATTCAAAAAACAAGTATCAGACACTACAACACACTACACTATGATTTCAAAACTGCAATTCAAATTTTGAAGTTAGTATTTGAGCTGTGAATTTTTGTAAAGGTTAGAGATAAAGTACATAGTCTTTGGTACCACCTGACACACAGAAGGTAGCCAGTAAGTAGGAGATGTTATGAAAGTCAAAGCTGAGTTGCAATTTCTTTAACCTAAGGCTGAACAGAGGTGCCATTTGATTTTTTTCTCACAAATAACTGAAAGTAACTAATATTAATGTTTACTAGGAACTGTAAATAGTAACACATTTAACCCTTTTTAGGCAACCCCAAGAGTTAGGTACAGTATTACTTTTATTTTATAGAATTTTCTGGGCACAGAAAATACAATAACTTGCCTAGGGTCATGGAGTAAATAAACACTTGATTTAAGAATCAAGCACCTATAATTAGGGGTAAGTCCATGGACTACAAACAAGTTCTATGCATCTTTTCCCCACTATCTCACCTCTTGATACTTTATTTTTTAAAATGACTCCACAAATACGTATAATTTTGGATATTAATTTTTTTTAAAACTTGAGTCTCAGGGGCCCTATTTATCCCTGACTGAAACAGGGATTTATCCCTAACTTCTATTAAATACTTTATTTTTGCAAAAAGAAACTTTTTCTTAAAACACATTAATAAAAACACAATTAGACTACTATTTTACTTCAACAGTTAACATTTATCACTAACCAGGTTTTATTTGAAGGATTTTTCATATATTACTTTGCTTAATTCTCACAACATTGAGGTGGGTACTTCCACAGCCTCCATTTTATAGGTAGGAAAACTGAGGTCAAGTTACAAGTTACAGCTAGTTACAGCTAGGAGGAATATTTCAGATCCTGTTCTCTTAGCTACTGTATTATCTCTCAAGATGTTATACACATACAAATTTCCAAATACCTCATGTTAAATAATTACATAATGGAAAGAAAAGCACTCTGTAAGTGATTGCGGGCCATATAATTATTTTGAGGGTGCTTATCTTTAGAAACTGTTTTTCACAAAGGAGAAAGGTAACCTCCTAGGTTCAGCCTAAACTGCACAGCAACCACAACCTTCCCAGTTTGGAAACTACTTAGGTAATATTTTCTTCTGCATCTCTTCCAACTTTATTCTGCGATCACATAGGATGCCATCAGACATGATTTTTCCCTTTATGATGCAAAAGCGAAAAATTATTTCCTTTTCCTTCTGGTTTTCTCTAAGGGCGGGCTGTTGTCCCTCCGCCCTAGTTAGACTGCAGTAACTCAGGTTCCCACCACCACGGTCAGGTCAATAACGAGCACCAGTTCCTGGGCTTTCATTCTTTCTCAAAAAAGGAAAATCCCTCCCAAACGCAAGGAAATCCGTCGTAAAGCAAAGCATAAGTCTTCAGCGGACACATTTCCCTTGCATAAGAGAGACGCACTAGCCACCAGGAAACTGGCTTCCACTTTCTTCACGCCCATCGGTGCGTCGGTTTCCCTCCCGGGCCTCCTCCACACACCTCCTCTGTCCAAAGGCCCCTTAAACCAGAAAACTCCGGCCGCGAACCCTCCTCCCGCCAGCCCCGGCCAACGTGAGTCCGCCGAGCCCGTAACCCGCCCCATCACATCCCAGCTCTAGGATGCCTGGCTACCTGCCAGTCGCTCCTGCTAGTGGGCGCGGGAGTCCTCGGGTCAGCTTCACCGACATACCCCCAGGCCCTGCCCAGCTCCTGGCAACTAGGTGGCACTCAATAATCGCCCGCGGCGTGCTGAAAAAGAAAGGACCTGGCGCACTCTGAACTTCCCCACCTGGGCCCCATCTGGCTAACGTCCCTCCATCCGCCTCCTGCTGCACCTCTCCCTCCCCCCAGACAGATTCCGCCTCCCTTCTTCGCGCTCCCGTCAACCCTACCTAAAGCGCTCCAGTCCCGATCTCCAGCCTCCGCCAGGCCCCAGGTAACCCGGACCGGTGTGCAGCCCGGGTAGACAATCAGGCGCGGCCGGGAGGCGTAGCCAGCGTGACGCGCAGAGAGGCCGGCGCTGCCAGCCAATCAGGGCCCGGCGGCATAAGCTGATATGACGGCGGATCGCGCGACTTGGCGCCCCGCACCTCTCGGCGGTCACGTGGGCGCCGGGTTCGGCCACGCCCCCTGGCTTCTTCTGACGCTGGGAGGGCGCGAATACGGTGCCGGTGGTTGGGCGGCGGGGGATGGAGTTTCAGGTTCTGTTTTTGTTTGCCTCTGACCGGCACTGTCGCTTGCGACGCGGAGTCGTCGATGACAGTTCTATAATTCTCTTAAGTACGCTGCACCTGGAGGGAAAGAGCTGAAGTTTCCTTTTTTAGTAAATGCGAGTGGCGTGTGCGAAAGCCTCAAATTCTGTTATGCAGTGTTTCTCAGGTGGAAAGGGAGCAGTTGTGTGGGGAAGGATGTGATTGGGCGCTTGGTGGAGAACGAATGCCATGTAAACACATGTTGATTTTTAATGATGCACACCTGAAACGTGCATGCTGTTGTAATGTTACAATAAAAAAGAAACAGGCAAGAAAAAAATCACTATACAGGAGGCAGCAAGAGCGTACAGGAGGTTCAGCTAGAATATAAACGTAGACTATGAGACCAAATTAGTGGTTAGGAGAAGGACATGCGGAAACTGGGTGGGTACATGTGACATTTTATGAGCAAATTTCTCACTTGAATAGTTAGATTTTTATCACTAAGTACGCATAATGGCCTTTTTTGAGAAGGAGGACTTGGGCAACTTGCTCCTAGCAACCAAAAGTAGTGAAAAACTAACCCCTACAGAATAGTCTTTTTAAAAATATGGTAATAGAGCATCCTAGGTCACAGCTTTTCCATATGCTTTCTTGTCCAAGAACTATTGTCAAGGTAATAGTTTGTTCATAACTTGCATGAAACTATACCTGCCACCCAGTGTCAAAGAATTAAAAAATAAGACACAACATCCTCCTCCTTGTCTGGCTGGGATATAAGTTATAAATAGGAGGTGGGTGAACATGCCAGGTACTGTTCTGTACTCCTGAGATACAGTGATGATCATGAGATACAGTGACGATCACGAGCAATGAAATTCCCTGCTCTTGTGAAGCTTATATATAATGAGACAGAATCAAATAGATAATACAGTGTCAGATAGGAATATATGCTATGAAGAGAGCAAAACAAACAAAAATAGGCTAAAAGAAGTAAAAGTTGAAAGTGGCTGCTTGTTTAAACAGTAGGGTCGGAGTCAGCCTGTCTGAGGAGGGAACATTTGAACTGAATGGAGTAAGGAGACTTCCTTTGCTTGAAAGATTTTAAATGGAGATTTAGAGTCTCAGTTTTTGATGAAGTGGCTCACAAACTTCTACATGCATGAAATTATTTTTAGGGGAGAAGCAGGTAGGTGTACAAGTGTCCAAAGGCAGATTCTATTTATTCCTCAGCCTGGCCCCACGGTTTAGGTTATAATTTACAGATCCAGGTATGGTACTTAAGACTTCAGGGACCAGAGAGTCCTCAGAAAATTAGATGTCTCCACATAAAAGTATACTAGTGCTTCCAGTAGAAACTCTCCCAAACCATTGTCTACTTAACTGATGCTCTCAGTTCCCTTCCTGAAATAAATTACTGATCCTTATAAAATACTTAAGACTCATATCTAATCGTCTTCATTCTTGTTCACTCCACGTATCTCTTTTCACTAGTTGAGTAAAAGTCTGTTCCAATCTATTTCTTTTCTTTGTACTCTTAATCATTATGTAATTTAATTAAATTATACAAATTGATACGGTTTGAGCCGGCAAAGAAAAAGAATTGTTTCTATGAAACCCTAGAATGCTTTGGAAAGACTGCATAAAGATGAATGCTAATAAAAATAGTCATTGAATTAGCAATAGATAAGCTGGTTATAATAGATAAGACACATTTTAAAGTACCATATCTAGTGGGATTCTTCATTCAAGAATTTGTTGAAGATCTTCATTCAAGGATTCTTGTTTTGTAAGGGTCTTTTAACTTGTCTCCACTTTAAACGTTATATAAAAGTTAAAACAAAACAAAGCTGAAAATTCAACTAGGGGTATAGATTATGCTGGAATACTACCCAGAACTACAATCAGAAGCATCACACTCAAAGATCTTTCTTGACTGGGATATAGATATTTAGGTAAAAGCAAAATTCTTGAGAGAGAGGTAATAAACTTCATGCGACCGTGACCCAAAATAATGGTGGTTTTAAAGCTTTATTTATTTATTTATGCATACAGAGCTGGGGTACAAGCCAGAGGTACAGGGGTGGTGAGAGGATTCACCAGAGTCAGAGTGGGGAGCAGAATAGGCAGATCCACAAAGTACACTGCAGAGGGGAGCAGTGGGCTGGTCAGGAGAGGTCACCTCCAGGATCAAACTCAAACTGAAGCAGCTGTGGCTTACTTGCAGTGCTGCGCCTAACCCGTTGCACCACCAGGGAGAGCCAATTTCTCCAATTTTTAAGTTTATAAGATCTTTTGCTGCCACTGAGCCCAAGATGCTACTGATCTCACTGAATGAGCGTTTCACTGATGCTATCATTTTTTTTCGCTAGTACTTTCACTTGGCCCATTATAACGTCAGTCTCTGCTGATACTCTTTCGATGTTCATGCATGTTGCCCAGATTTTCCTCTAGATCCTTTAAAATATTTTTATGGTTATTTAAAAATGTTTGGCTCATAATTCAAACATGTGATCCACTTGTTGGTCTGCTTCCTTCCTCGTGATCGTGGCTTCCATTTTCTTGCATCTTTGTGTGTCTTATCATTTTAACTACACATTGGACATAGTGTATAAAAGAACAGCAGAGGTAATATTTTCCCCAGGAATCATCTCTTATTGTGTCAAAACACAGAATTTCTAGCTCTGCAGAAACACATTGGACATTGCATTTAAAAGAAAAGGAGATACTGAAATAATATTTCCCCTAGGAAGTTGTGTCAGAATGCTGAGAATCCTTAGTTCGAGAGAAACACCAAATTTCAGGAAGCTATCAGAAATTTGTTAATTCACAGCCTAGACACCAACTTTCTGAAACATGAGTAGTGTATCTGGCTTCACAGTTTGGATTCTAGTTTTATGAGTCTCTGGAATTTCTCTTTGCTCTTAAGTTTCAGCTCCATCTTTACAGACCAGGGAATCTCCCTATGCACTGCTACCCTGGTATTGCTGTCTCATCCTCCGTGACAACTCAAAGTGCCTTACAGAGGTCTCTCTCCACTTTCTGCTCTGCTCTTACCCTCATCCAACCATTGTTTTAACATGGGGAATTTCTGGGCATCTTGGGATCTCTTTAAACTCTTCTGCTCTTCTCCCAGCCTTCAGTGAACTCTCCTTGTGTCCTTGGTGAAGGCACAAATGTGTATGATAATTGTACTTGTTGGCAGTTTAAGGCTACTTTAGATTCTAATGCATTGTGCTAATTCACATGCATCATTAAAAATTCATTAAATATGACTGGTTTCTCCTTACCACCTACTAGGATGTCTTCCTTCCTCTTTCCACTGCTCCGTGAGAAAGAAAACAGTGATAGTGCTCTCTGCTCTTGAAGGAAGGACTCTGCTTTCTAGATGGTAATTTCATTGAGTTTACTTCTGTCCTCAGGTCCTGGTGGATTAAAAAAGCAATGTCTTTGTAGTTTATCTGATTTATTATCACCATTAGAGTAGCAGCAACAGTGAAATTGAAATTGGAAGGCCTGAAATTTGGATTTTAATGACCTGTAAGGGATAGGCCAATCCATCCCAAAGAAGGGTGGATTCTAAGAATCGTGGATTTACCTACAACTAAGACTCTAGCATAAGCCCAAACTTTGGAAAGCATTAATGTAGAAATTAAAAGGGAACAGTTTCTGTTTGAATTCATCCCTAGGATGAGGAAAGGTGGGGAAGAGAAAGAAAAGAATCTCCCTGGAGAGTTTTGAATCACTGACTTGTACTCTGGCTGTACTGGACACACAATTTATTCTCCCTTGCATGGCCTGATATCACCAAGCCACGATTTCACTTTCCAAGAACCAGAGATTTGTATTGCCCCCAGATGCTGGCGGAAGCAAAGCAAATGTACCCTACACAATTCATTTAAAACCTTGATGTCAGCTCATTCGGTGCCTAGAACAGCCGTACCTGATGGTTCTGAAGTGCGCAGATGCTCCAGAGCATGGGATGCTGGACGTACTGATGCTTTTCCCCTGTGTGCATCCACTGAGCCCTCAAAGCTGTGCCTTCTCATCTTTTTCCTAAGGTAGAGAGCCCGGTGCCCTCTAACATGAGCGGAAGTAAAGATCTACACACAGCAGCTCCAAGCCGGATGGCCAACTCCACTTTGCTAGAAGCAGCACTGTCAGGCTTATGGATGTCATTAACATTGGCAAAACCACTGAGAATTTTCATCTGATCTGTGACCCCTGGGCCACTTTGCTGTCCATCAAATTAGCCTGCGGAAGCCAAGTACAAGTTCTGTGAAATGAAAAAGATCCACCCAGACTGACATCTTCCAGATGGATTTGGAGCTTGACCAATCAATTAGCTTCGCCTGGGACATGTCAGTCTGCGCACGAAGAGATCGAGAGAGACCTGACTCTTGATGTGGCAAGAGGCACATGGCTACAGCTTTGCTACCAGACTTTTCAACATATTCCTCACTGGAGAAGACAATCATGGATTTCCCTGCCCTAAAGAAAAGGCAATTGACTCACCATTTCTGATGCCATAGGCAAAATTCTTAGCTAAGCAGAGCAGTGGTTGCAATAATCTCCAGGTGAGAGAAATGAAGAGCTCCTGATAATTAAGCCTAGAGAACAAACAAAACACTAGTTTCGGATAATTTCCACAAAAGGAGCATAGATTCACAATTAAAAATAATGAGTAAAGTACCTGAGAAAATAAATTCAATGAACAAAAAGTCAGAAGAGAAAAAAAAAAGAACTCAAGGGTCAGGCTCCTAAGATGGATATTGGAATTATTAGATACAGATTA